CGCCATGCTTCACTGTAGGCAGGGTGTTCTTTTCAGCATATGCTTCATTCTTCTTCCTCCAGACATACCGCTGTTCCATAGGCCCGAAAAGTTCCAGTTTTGTTTCATCACTCCACAGAACAGAATTCCAAAACTTCTGTGGCTTATTTATATGGTTTTGAGCATAATGGAGCCGACTTTTCTTGTGCTTTTGGGTCAGTAGGGGTGTACGTCTTGGAGTCCGGGCATGGAGCCCTTCGGTATTTAGTATGCGCCTTATTGTACAAACTGAAACCTCAGTGCCTGCTGCCACCAAGTCTTGCTGCAGGTGTCTTGCAGTCATTCGAGGGTTTTTGACCACTTGCCTCCTCAGGAATCTGGTGGCAGCCGCTGATAGTTTACTCTTTCTGCCACGTCCAGGTAGTGTAGCCACTGTTCCTTTAACTTTGAACTTGCAAACTATGCTTCCAACTGTATCTCTAGGAACATTCAGAGCTTTTGCTATCGTTTTGTATCCTTTTCCTTGTTTGTGCAAGGCAATGATTTCTTCTCTGAACTTTTTGTACAATTCTTTTGACTTAGCCATATTTCTAACATGCAATCAAACGTCACTCTCAACAAAACCCTAGCCAGTCCAGGTATTTATGTGTTCTGTCTCAAGCACACCTGAATTAATGAAGCCCTTGATTAGTTGCACCAGGTGTGCTTGAAACAGGGGGTTGAATAATTGTGATTAGTTGCATCAGGTGTGCATGAGACAGGGGGTTGAATAATTTTGAGACTGCAGTAGTGATTAAAAGTAGCATTTTGTGTTGAATTTGGATAAAAACCATGGTAATATTAGTTTTATTAAACTATTTCAACTGTTCTTGTCTACTTTGTTTATTGCAAACAACTGAAAAATTGTACATTTTGCCAATAAGCCTAATATGCAATGGGGGTTGAATAATTTTGATTGCAACTGTAGCCTAAAAGTTCGCCTTCAGTTCATCATATATGGAATTTATTGTGAAACTCTTATCTGCAACAGAACATTTTGTAACAGCCTTTGAGGTGTTTGTTCCTGTTTGATGGGTGTGTAAAGCATGAAAAAACATACATCCATGGTGAAAACATAAACACATAAAAATGCAAACTGAAATCAAACCTAGGCTTTCAATGTTCACTTCTTTTTAAAGTAAGATTTAAGTCCCCTGTTTGCAAATACAGGACCAATAGTTTGTTAATTCAGTGGCAGGCCATCATTCATCATACTGTATCCCTGTTGATGAAGCAACATAGCTTCTGCTAGTTTAACTTGTCAGGGAAGATTTTGTTTTACATGATAGCCTTTATCTGAAGATAATTAGTGTTGTATTTTTCAAAATACTATTTTAGCGCTCTAAATAGTGAAATTTTTCTTTTTATGCTTATCCCTTCACAACTTCTTATTATTTGGTATTGTCTGTTTTCTGTTGTTTTTCAGATGTGCTTAGTGCAAAACATAATTTCCCCACCTGGATCAATAATGCATTTTCAGTTAATTTATGTTGTCTTTGTTGTCATGTAAAGGAGACACAAGTGTGTTGGCTGGAGTGTACGGACCAGCAGAGGTCAAAATCAGTAAAGAAATCTATGACCGGGCAACGCTAGAAGTGTTGATACAGCCCAAAGTGGGACTGCCAAGTAAGTGATTATCTCATCTCTAATTTGCTTATTGGGCATCTAATGCAGTTCCTCACTGTTGTTCTAATGCAATGTAAGCAGTTTAAATATTCTTGTAACAGTGATGATTTATTATTTAATTCTGTAGTACAGCTTTGTTTCAGAAATACTTTTGGATCATTTGGTTACAATTCAGTGTCGAAATTAGGCATTGTATAACAAACATGAAAATTGTCACATTATTTGGAAAGACATGTTTGTACAAGCTTCTTTAGAGGGGAATGAGGAAATTTAAGGGTTTTAGGAGGCTAGTAACGACTTGTTTAACAACCTTGTCCTCCTCTACTGTGCATAAGCTGCAATACCACAACACGCCACAAGGTAGAATAAGTGAGCCAGTTTTCCAGTCTGAATTAAGTGTGTATCCCAACATTTCTTAATTTTCCAGGTGTAAAGGAGCGGTCACAAGAGCAATGTGTGCGGGAAACCTGTGAAGCATCTCTGCTTTTGTCACTTCATCCTCGCTCCTCCCTCACACTCATTCTTCAGCTGATACACGATGATGGTTCAGTATCCTTTGGGAAAATTCTCTGCTGCTTTGTGCATTAAAATGATGCCCAGATGCTGTTTCATGTTGAGTGTTCTTCCTTACCTGTTCCTCAGCTCTTGTCCTGCATTTTGAATGCTGCCTGTATGGCTCTTATGGATGCGGGCCTGCCTATGAGTTGCCTGTTCTGTGGAGTGACATGTGCCATCGACGCAGATGGTCAAATCATCATAGACCCCACTGCGGCTCAGGAGAAGGTAAATCTGTGCTGTGTAAAATTGCCCCAAAGCACACTGACAAACAGCTGCTAGTGTTTAAATTAAAATAAAATTGTGAACATTCTGGATTGATGATATGCAACTGAGTTTGACACTAAAACTCCATTCTGCACCCCTCACACATTTGCATGTGCTTTCAGTACAGTCAGCACTGTCAGTGTCCTCACTGAATGTGTTCATTTGTTCTTGTCTTTTTCCAATCTTACCAGGAAAGCCGAGCTTTGATGACCTTTGCTATTGACAGTACAGAACGCAAAGTAATTATGTCATCAACCAAAGGATCTTTTTCAGTTCTTGAGGTCAGTAAATGAATGAGCAAATGTGCAATTGTGAAATTTAGGTTTGGGATCATATCTAATATGTGAATTCCGTATTTGTTTTGTCATTATCTGCATGCTCTGCCAATGATGTGCTTCAGGTCTGATGATGATGAGATGTTTATTCAGACTATCTGTAGTCTTTAATCTTTGTGTTTCATCTTCTACAGCTGCAGCAGTGTATAGCAGTCAGTCAGAAAGCATCAGAGAAAATCTTTCAGTTCTACAGAGACTCGGTCAGGCGGCGATACTCCAAAACCCTCTGAAGAAGAAGCAGCTCTCTCTTTTTTTAGTCTTTTGAAAAAGCTATGAGTACAAACACCAATGTTGTAATGAAATATTTAGTAACCACTTTGGGCCACCTTTGCTTCAGCTCAGTTGTAGTTAGCTGTGCTGTGGTTGAAGTGAGGTTTACAATTGAGCATTTGTGAGAAGACCAGATTGAACTGTCAATTCAGGGTGCAAAATAAAAAAAGAGGAAAGATGAATGTTAAACAAGTGCATTTATTGGGATTCATTGACTTTTATTTTAATATTTACATGTAATACAAGAATGTGAGCTGAATATCTCTTGTACTAATAAATCTCAAACCTTTCACCTTTTTTTGACAATCTATACAAGTGATACAAAGTGAGACAAATCTGACTGCAGCCAGTTGCATGACAGCGTGACCAGTCGAGGTAATCCAACATTAAATGTTCAAAGAAATCACTAATTGTGGTAAATCAGCTGTAGCAACAAACGGTAGTTTTTTATCATTGACACAAATGTCCAGTGGAGACAGAGGATGGTTCAGGATTGTCAGAACTGTACAAAACTGTGTGGACTCAGTGCAGCTGCATCATAGCACATCGACAGTGATAGCTGACGAGGGTTAGACACTGAGATATCAGAGATGTGTCCACATATACCATCTACAGTGATCATTATATATTATCAGCTCAGTCTTGATACAACACTGGGTTTGCAGAAAACAAAGTGAGTTATTTGCAGTTCAGCCAGGGACTCTATAAAAACTAGACATCTAAATAGAAAATGTCAACTTTTACCTTACAGTCTTTTTTTTTTAATATTTACGTTGAGTTCCCTTGTTCACTGTTTTGTTAATGGCACGTTTAAGCTCAAACCAATATGGCCAGAGTTTTTCTTTCATTAGAGCATTTTTTGCAGTAATTCAGGACCAAATAAAGAAAGTGATCGAAGCAGGTTTGTACATGGCAAACTACAAACTGGCCATGCAGGTGACCGAAATGGTTTACCTGACTCATGCATCATATGGCTGAGCGCTAGATGTCTCGCTAGACTACTTTTTGCAACATTTTTCCACCCCTTTGCTCATCCGAACAAAGTGTTTCTGTGTTTGCTTACGTAAGTTTGAGCAGACAACTTCATTTTCAAGTTTGTCATACTGCAAAAAACAAGTTCCTGAAGGATTTCAGTCGTCTTTTTGGAGGCAAAACTAGCAGAATCTATATCTGGAGAGCGTGGAGTAGCAGCCTGGTTGCTTCTATTAATGGAACAGCTCATAAAAGGATCATCCTTAGAGTTTCTTCCATATTTTTGGCACTTTTACTTGCAGGTCTGCACCTCTCTGTCTATGTCATCATTTCCTAGCACTGTATACAGAAGCAACTCCTTTATTTCTATATACAGAGCCAGTGCTTCACATCACGACTTTGCATTTCTTTTGAAAACTCCTCAACTCCTCATTTATATTATCTTATATAATGGCACTATATGTATTTGTCATTTAGTTTTTTGTGTATTTCAAACATAAAGATTAACTTGGCATTAAACAAAGCAGAATCAGTACTTTCTGCAGGTGAACAATGAGTGATGCTGAATGTGAAACCAGGATGGGTTGATCAGTGCAGTGTTTCCCTGTGGGTCTCTTCCCAGAGGAGTAGCAACAAATTCTTGGTTCTCTGAAAGAATATTGCTTCTGGCCCCTCATAAAAAAAACAGCTCTGAGGCTCTTAAAGCTGTCCCCAGCTTTCACACCACAAGCAACAGTACTGGCTCAGGCACTCCCACAGTGAGGTCCATCAGTATTTAGCTGCTGCCACGTCCTTGCTGCGACCTTCTCATAAATCTGCAGACTCCATCGCCGTATACCGCCCTCCACTCGGCTCCTCCCAGGCAGACGAAGTCACATGTCCCCTCACTTCTCTTTCTGCTTCTCATTAGTCTGATATCGACAGTCTTGTGATAACATCTGAATTTGTTTTCAAAGCCTTTTTTTTTTTTTTTTTTTTTAAATCCGGTAACCTGATGACAACTACAGCACAGATTTAAAGTATGGCAGGTAACTTAAATCCTCAGGTGACAAAATAAATCACATTTACAGACTGGATCTTCTATAAGGAGTGATATCGTATAACTTCTTTTTCAATGATTTTTCTTCACACATGAGGAATGTCCTCTGAGCTGAACTATGTCTTAATCCAAATAGAAGTGATTATAATTTATACACCACATCTCCTGTCCTTTTTCCAGGTGTAGATATAACATGACTGAAGACAAAGACTGTGATTATTTTGCATTTACAGGTGATATGTTGTGTTGATATAGATGAAATTCGTGAGAGGTCTGTTTTTTGTGTGTGTGTGTGTGTGTGTGTGTGTGTTTGTGCAAGAGTTGCTTTTATGGTGGTTTTCCAGACAGGTAGGAAATCAGTGCAGCGATGGCACAGATGTACGTTATGATTCCAAACACAATGGAGAGCACTGAAAGCCACAGAGCCTGGCGAGATGCTGCGTTGGCCCCCTGAAAATCCCCCTGAGCGGATGCCTTGTTGGTCTGGAGGAGAGAGGAGAGTGAGATAAGGATTAGAGGGAGGGGGAAAAAAGAGGAGAGAGGAGCATTCCTCATCATTTGTCAACGTCCTCTACGGCCTCCACTTTCCTCTTCCACTCATTCCAATCACACGCTAAGCCCATATTATGTTCCATCTCTGAATCATACCCGGCGTTTGTGCCTCATTCATCACTTTCTCCTCCTTCCTTCCTCTCTCCCTCTAGTCCTTGTCATTGACTCTGACCCCTGTTTTAGGTAGCACTCAACAATATTGGAAATCTATCACCTTGAGCCTTCCTGTTATGACTCTAATTAAACCTTAACGAAGGCCATTGATCTGATCAAAAGGCCCTTTGCAGCTTGCTGCCAGTTAGCTTTGCAAAAGCGTTAATGGGATTTTTTTTTCTCCACTGCACTGCTGGAAAGATGCCTATATGAACTAGGGGTCTCTGGTGACTGGGGATAAAGATGTTAGGGGCTTTTCCACACTGTCAGTGGTAATAGTGACTGATGAGATTGTTTGTGCAGTGATGCTGTCCCCCTTTCCCTTTGGTCTATTCCATATTTCAACCTGCTTTGTCTTAGAAGAGATTGATAATCTCATCTATCAAATTAACACGTTTTATAGGAAAAGAAAGTGTTTTTTTTCTTCTATAAAACAAAAAAGTGAGACTGATTTTTGACTGCTAGAGGAGAAAGAGATTCCTTGCGCTAGCGGCATATGCCTGAAAATATATACATTTATAAGCTGGTATTGGAAATATTATAATATTTTATTACATTTATATAAAAATAATAATGATACTACTACTACTACTACTAGTGCCTTGACTACTACTACTAGTGCCTTTTATATAATGATACCATAACAGGAAGCGAAACTGTCCTACCAAACATAAACAAGACGAAATTCAGGTTAAGTTAAGACAAAGTTAAAACAAGGAGATAAAAATACAAAAATGCAAAAGTCAATAAATGAATAAAGACAAATTGAAAGAATTAAAGCGACAGAAAGACAAAATAAAAATAAAGACAACGTCACATAAAAGTAAATCTATAAATATGGGTTATAAGTGGTGATTTAAAAGAAGTCACTGATTCTACAAACCTTATCTCCCCAGGCAAGTCGCCCCAAAGCCGAAGTATGACTACCTTGAGATTAAGCTTTGACTATGGGATTGTTTCTGCTATGTAGCATGGCACATAGATATGGAATAAGTGTTTGCTATTAACTATTAAGTATATTTGCCATTATTCTGTTTAATCAGCACCAGGTATATAGATCAGAGGTTCTAGCAATCATTTTGAGGAGTGTCATGGAATTAATTATTGAATACACAACTACACAAACTAGTTTCTGATTCTTATTATTATTATCTGAGCTGGTTACTATCACAGGGGAGGTTGTGGAAATCCAATTGTTTTTAGGAGTCATGACACTGATATAGGCACGTTTATCCAATAAAACATAACAGATCTAAAATGACACCAAAAAGATTATGATGTGTTATTTTGAAAAAAATCATACTTGATCAGTATAAACAATCACTGTATTATGGAAGGAAGACTGTTACAGAGAACTGTAATTCTAAGATGATCTAGATGTACAAAACATCCTTGTGCATTTCTCCTCGGTTGTTCAGAACCCTTGTAGCATAATTGTGCAAATCTAAGTGTCATCCCTCCCAATCTGAACTCTATTCCATGATGTCCACAGCACTTAAGACACTTGATTTGTTGTTGGTCTACACCCTGCAGAGGGTAAGAAATCACCCGTGGCTGTGAACTACAGTGCCAGGTTGCATCTTGTCAGCTCAGGACTGAGTGTGTTTACGTGTGTGTGTGTGTGTGTGTGTGTGTGTGTGTGTGTGTGTATGTACCTTCTGTGAAAGGTAGAAGGCAGCGATGCCCAAGGGCCAGAAGCAGCAGAGCATGGAGAAGAAGGCCAGACCCAGGTAGTCCTGCGGGATCATCAGAGGGAAGTTGCTCTCACTGTCTGTATCACTGAAGTCATCAATGGATGAGTCCTGGGATTCAAACAGAGTGCACTTAGGTTGAGTTCAGGTTACATCACAAAAAAAAAAAACCTCTGACAGTGTCTGTCTGTGCAGATAGTTTTACTTTTGTTTGTCCAGGTTTTGAGATTTCTGCTTCCACACCAAAGCAATGGATATTAATTTATTTTAGTTTCCCAGCAATTGAAAATTACATTTAAAAAAATTCAACACCACCAACACCACCCATTTCTCTTGATATAGTAAATACCAGAGGTGTGGACTCGAGTCTCATGACTTGGACTCAGACCGAAATCACAAAGTTGATGACTTTAGACTTGCAACTCCACTTGGGCCTTAACATTACTGACTCATGCCTTCAGTTGGACTTGAGCCTTTTGACTTAAATACTTGATACCTTCCCTGAAGCCCAAAGATTAAAAAGTAAGTAATTTAAAAAGTTTGCTAAGAATCAGTTCTTTTCCCTTCATTTCCTGAATCAACTAACACTAACTCTATTCATTCCCTGCGAGTTGACACTGAATTCCCCAGATCCACTTTGTCTGAACCTATCCGACAGCATCCAATCAAACTGAAGGACAGAACCAGAACTTACATAACGTTACTGAGCGCTGGTTGGAAAAAATTACACTGAACAAAATTTTGTCCAAGTACAAAAACTATGAAGCAGTCAACAGAGAAAGGATTTGCAGTATGCAAAATATGTGGGTTGAAAATTGTAAAACTTTGCTGGTGCCTGTAAGATAATGTGACTGAATGAGGTTAGTCTGGATGTGCACTAGCTCTGCTGACCGCAGGCGATTTGTGACTCTTTTTGAAACAGCTGCATATTCAATCTGACTTCCTCTCTCACTCCGACCCTGTCATATTACTCTGCTTGTTTTATTCTGCGAATGAAATAATTGTGCATTTTCCCATAGATGCTCATGTAACATTGGAACAAAGGCTCCACACACCAGCACCCTTTAAAACAAGCTGCTTTTAAAACATTAAAGAAGATCAGACAGGGATAAATCAGAGGGCATTATTACATACAGTACTTTAAAGATTAGTTCACAAGGTTATTTTGATTTTCCTGATGTCATTCACTGCACATGCCTGTTCTCTCTGATGTTGTTATGGATTTGTCCTGTCTTGAATTATTCTCATATATCAGGAGAGATCTTCCTGGAGCATTTGTTGTTGACATGAAGAAGGAGGGAAATCTCAAAATGGACCAAAAGCCAGATACACCGTGCCCATATGTAAAGTCATTCAGGACGAGACACTCTTACAGTCATCTCTCCTGCTCCGACATATTGATCAGCTCCACAGTGTAAATTCAGCATAAAGCGAAAATAGATTTTTGGGGGCCACTTTGAGTCCTTTTACTGAGCGTTTGAAGTGAAACAAAGGAGGAGGAGATATTGTGTTGTGCCTCTTTGAGGTCACTGCAAGGTTTTATTCCCACAGGCCTGCGCCTTTGCACCACTGCACTACTGCCAGCATTCAGAATGAGCTTGAAAAAAAAAGTTATTTTGCGTGCTGTTCTTTTGTCCTTGTGGAGCAAACTCCTAACCTAAACTTTGCAACAGCCTCTTGATTTTAATGGTACCACTGGGTGTTTGTCAAAGTAATAATTGTAAAGCAGCTTTTTAGCCTTTTATTTCACAGTGGGTAATTGGACCTTTTGACGTAACCTTGCTGAGAGACTTTTCATAATGATCTAAACAACCAGCGGCCACTTACTTGTGACATTTACAGTGTATACATTCTGATGTTGGCTCCTAAAACATCAAGTGACCACTGTAAGACTCTTACAGCTAATTTACATTTCACTCCAGGGTGGGCTTTGCTCAGTGATCTATGAAATAGAACTGGCATCCTCCATCGCTACTGTAGTGTCATTACCTGCACCGCAGCAGGAGTGGAGCTTTATGTAATCTGGCTTTTTGACAGTAAGCATTCAATTGCTGCCTACTGCTGAAATGCATTGCTCATATGTCTATTTTAAGTTCCTCTTTGATCCCTGAATCTGTAGTGAGAATGTGAGTGTCTCTTTTTTATGTAAAACTTCTCCAAAGCAAAAGAAAAAAAGGATATGGTGGAAACTGGATGGACAGATACGATGATTATTTGTGTTTTGATAATCACTTCATCATTTCAGTTATTTATGGAATAATGATTCCCTGATTGAGCCTCTCCTGCGTGAAGATTTGCTGCTTTGTTCTGTTTTATACCATTATAAGCTGACTATCTTGGGGTTTGACAGAAGAAGAAGAAGATGTTCCCTCTGACTCTGGGACATTATATTGGGACCTTTTCACTACTTTCTGAAAGCTTAATAGACAAGACAATGAAATGATTAATCCAGAAAATAATTGTTAGTTTCAGCCTCATATGCAGTCGACGGTTTCAGCCCTATGACGCCCCAGGTAAAAATGTAGCTTTTTCAAGTGTTGGTAAATTTTGACATTTTGAGCTTTTTTGCTTCCGTAACATGTCTTCTTTCAGAGTAGTGGAAAGAAAACTTCCAAAATACATATTTAAATGTATTTTAGTTTAGAATTATTATATGGAAATTGATGCAGAAAGCACATATCTAATTAGCCAATGCCTCATTTGCATATTTAAACATAAGATTTAGAAAACTTGTGATACAAAAAATAATTGCCTTAATGTGAGAATGCTCCTGGGAAAGTTTAATGCTGTTGATATCTATTTGTTAGAATTGTCAGCCTAGTCACCTTTAATGTCTTATTTTTGTCTAAAAATGTACAGGCAGGTCAGCTGTGGCTGTAGCTGGGCAAGATATTGAACCCCGAATTGCTCCCGATGGCTGTTCCATCGATGTGAGAGAGCTTGTGAATGGTTACTGAGTAGCAGGTGGTGGCACCATGCACGGTAACCTCGGCCACAAGTGTGTGAATGTGTGTGTGAATTGGTGAATGTGACATGTAGTGTAAAAGTGCTCTGACTGGTCAAAAAGATAGAGTAGAAATTTTAACCTGATTTTATCCAGTGTTCAGATATATTTTGTTCTGTTCATGTTTCATTTTCATATTCAAACATAACAAAATATCAAAACATACTTGTAATATAAAAATAATTGTTTTACTATACGTAATCAGCTGGAAAATTAATTAAAAATATACTCCGGTCACCTTAAGTGAGTATCTGCATTAAGGGATTGCACTGCTTTCCTATGACGCTGTCATTATTTTGCTTTTACATGAATGCCTGGTTTTACTATTTGGAACTGTGGGATGTCTTACGTCAGAGTCGGGAAGCAGGTCATCCTCATCATCCATGCTGTAGGCCACACTGTGGAAGTCCTGCGTTTCAGCCAGCAGCTTCCTCTCCAGTGTGGAACCGGGCCGAATGTCCACAAAGGTGGTTTCCAGGTAGTCTTTGCTGAGCAGGGAGTCAGCATGGCCCCAAATGGGTGCTGATGGGTAGAAGGACTCCAGTGTGCGAGGCAAGGAGCAAGGGTCCAGTAGCTGCTGCTGCTGAAGCTCAGGAGGATGTCCACAATAGCTCCTCCACACTAAAGGAGGGTAGGCCCTGTCCTCCTCACACTTGACCAAGATGCCCTTGAACATCCCGCCAGGGGCCTGTCCAGTCCCGGGTCCCAGCCCTGGCCCTGATGCCCGACTGTTATTGGGGTTTTCTCCCAGAAGAGGGTGCTCCAGCTCATCTAGATTCTCCATCCCTCTCTTTTAATGCCAACAACACAAGAGGCCACCGCATCAACAACCAAATGTAATCTACAAATCAGTCCGCAGAGTGTCTCCCTGAAGAGTGTCCAATGGACTTATGCAAAGGCAGCTGCTTTGGTGGCTTTAGTTTTTCAGTGATAATCCATCTTTAATCCTATTCTTTAATTTCTCTATTATTATAGGCTTTAGGCCAGAGGTCAACAAGACATGCCAGGTTTATGAAATATCCGTAATGTGCCAGTGGTAGCCTTCTTTTGTGTTCTATGGGATGTGCTGAAGATGTATTGGAGGACTCAAGATCCTCTTTTCCTCACATTTCATAAGCTATTTGTTTCAGGGCTTGATGGCTCAGGGTTTGCCCCATGTCTTCCATTTCACATGATTGAGTGCGTCAGTGTTCATGAATATGCTAATGTTGGCTACGTTCTCTCTCATCCAATATGGTAATGTCAATTCTGATGATGGAGGACCTTGATTAGCCCCAGATAGGCTAATGAAAACATTGGGCAATGGGATTTCAGCGTGATTTGCCCTCAGGACAGGAACTCATGAAAAATGTCTCCTGCAATATAATATGAAGTCTTAATCTAAGCACAGTGTCATGTTATTAGCATTAAAGCTTTGAATGTCAATCTGTCCTTTCAACTGTTTTGGATGAAAATGAGAAATGACTTGTGAGCTGAGAAATGATTGCGAAGAGAAAAACAAAAATGACTTTCAGGCTGTCTGTCATGTGTTTGTTCGTACTGACACTGCTTTAAAAAAAAAAAAAAAAGCAGGCTAAAGGCAGCGGGCTTCAGATGACTGGACTGACGCACAGTGGGGTGTTTTGAAGCTTGAATATGCGCAACCTCCGGCAGCAGTCGAACTAGTGGCGCAATGAATGGATTGGGGCCATATTTGAGGGCAGTTAATCTGTAAAAGCAATGAGGCTCCAGAAATAGAATCCTATGGTGCACATCCGCAGGTCAGCAGGCCTGCCAACATGTCTGTTTCTCTGTTGTTGCCGCAAGAAGCAATAATGAAGAAATCAAAGTTCTCCAGTGTTGATTTATGGCTGTGGGTTTGCTGCTTGCCACGACAGCGCCCCTTTGGGACATGTAATTCTTTTAATGTACCCTGTCCACCTTAAGAGAGTTTCATTCGGGACAGATGAGTAGTCAGGCAGCTCTCTATCCACTCTGATGAGGATGAGGATGTCTGTTAAGAGAAGAACAAGGTCACACAAGATATTTAGATTTTACAGCAGAGCTAACAAGGTTCTAGTTTGGACCAGAGAGTTATAATGCCTCACTTACATACAAACACACTACTTGGGCTACATGCCAAAAACCTAACACCTTCCACAGATTCACATCAAATTCAAGACGTCAGTGCACCATAAGTGGTACTGACGTGTCTGTCCATTCAGTCCACACCAACTCTGACCTTCGTCACAGCGTCACTATCCTCAGAACCAGCTGTCCTTTCAGCCAGCGCAGCTCCTGAGGTGCTGACAGGACAGTGGTCAGACAAATTGTTTTTTAACAGACTGACTAATATCAAAAATGGGCAAAAATTGTTTTCAAGAAGGCTCCATGAGCAGTGTACAGGAATTTCTGCTGCTCACCGTAGTTTGAAATCCCCAAAGTGAAGCTGGGAGTCTCAGCGTGAAACTGTGGGCCTTGATCAATCAATATAGATACAGTTCGTAAGTTCATAACATTTACAGTAGCAAATCAGTGTGATTTTAAAGGCTGTCTATAGAGGTTACACTGCCCTGAGTGAACCTGAGGGGGAAAAATGGATCAACCCAAAAATAAATGGTTAACCTTGCAGAGATCAGCTTTTTGTCCTCAGAAGGAAGGTGAGTCCCTGTAATGTAAGTATGTGAACACACTCTCCACAATGTCATAAATACGAGTACAAAACAAAACACATGAAAATGAAAAAACAATCTTAATTAGTGTGTGAAATGTAAAAACTGCCCCAATCCAGTTTGCAATTTGTAATGTCAGGGACATTATTTAATCTCCCACAACTGTATGATAAATTCAGACTATTTCAACTAATTTGAGTTTTAAAGCTACTATTATGATTTAAAACCTCCAGCCTGGTGTCCACATGCTTAGTGCACACCAAAAGCAGACTTGTGCTTTAATGATATCCAATCTTTTTACATTAATTAATGAAGGTGAATGCTGTGAACTTATTCTCCATAAACCACATTTTTACAACATAATATTCAGGCAGGACTGGCTCACTTACAGTATCAACACACTAGATATCAGCTCAGATCAGGATCAGACTTAATAAATGGCATAGAACAACATCAAAACAAGACAGTTGAGTCACACAAAACATTCACAAACTTTAAAACCGAGAAATGAGTGTCACCTCACCTCACCTCAAGGCAGTCAGGGACACTGACCTTTTTTTTTTTTTGGTAGTTTGTTCCAGCAATGAAGTTCATAATGCCAGAATAAAGAGTAAACTATGATACAGAGAAGAAATTGCCAACTAACCTCACCCAAAAGCAGTCAGGGACACTGAACATGGGCCACAATATACCTCTGCACATTGTTAGTTACTGCAGTGCAAATGGCCTGACAATTAATGATAGCAAAATGCAAGACTCCAGTATACCATAGCAGTTTAAACTGACTGATGCTAGTTTTAAATGGGAAATGTCATTTTACTTTTTTCTACATTCTAGTTGCTTAAAAATCCACAACAACCAAACAGGTATTTCTCCTTATTTGAAAGTGGTCTGCATTTGCTGATTTGTGCAAGAGAAATAGAAAGAGTTCACACTAAAGGCAGGCTACGTTTGCACCTCTTTATCTCAGTTTTGGTCCACCATCCAACCTTCCACACTAAACTGGCCCTGGACTTGAAAAGATGGCATGTCCTGAGTATATAAACCTGAAAATGTCAACAGTGTTTTTCAGTGTGGACAAAGAAAACGGAGCCTTTTGTTGAACTACGATGGAAGCCAGACCGGACACATTCAGGAGCAGTAAACCTGCTGTCACCTCTGGCTTCCTTTGTGATCGCTCATTTGAAATGTCAATACAGTCGATCAAACAGCAAAGCTGTTGTTGTTTAGCTGTAGGCTATTTTTGTAGTGCAGGATATACTATTTATCCGGTTAACACATAGTTTTTATGAGCCACTTAATGTATATTACAGGGACAGTGCATCAAAGGCAAAATCTGTAAATGAGCCAGAGTTAGCTTAAAAGGATTACATCAATCTGTTGGCCAGTTGTTAAACTGGCACCCTAAAAATAGAATAAAACCACATAGCGCTGTTTTAAACTTGTCGATGACAAAAAAATGGTAATGAGAATAATTTAATTGGCTGTAAATGTTTAATTTCAGAGAGAATTCCAGAGCAGACAAAAAAGGAGGTTTAACTAGCTGAAACTCAGCAAAGTAATTAGACTGGGTCTTTCCCTAACCACCCCTACACCCTCTCCCTACTCACTTCTAGTCTGTTTCCCTGTTCACGCGGAGGGTCCACCACATTAAGCGGCATCCCAAACCAACTAGTGAGGAGTGGAAGTGGGTAATAAAACCCTCGAACAGCAAGTCTGCATTGATGTCAACTTACTTACCACATGCCATGTTCATCATGGAAGACGCTCTGTACAAACAAAGTTCTGTGTAACTATGCTTACAGAGCTTACAAATGTGAACTGCTCAAACTGAGATAAACAGTTAATAATGTCATACAGTCATTAACACCTTTTATTACACGGCTCTATTAAATGCTGTATTCTGATTGGTCAGTAGCGGCATTCTGCGGTCTGATATTACTGTGTAATGACCTCTGCTAGTAGCAACGGTCATTACACACAGTTGCTATGTAGCCCAGTGTTGCTAGGGATGCTGCCCTGCAACACTGCAGCTGTCAAACAACTTCCGAGGGAAAAAACAAACAGAAGTGGCTGATTTTAACGGATTCCGCTGAAGAAAAAGAATACCTACGGACTTTCTCTGCCAAAAACAAAAGAAGACGGATTTGAATACACACTCGGCAGTCATGCTTAATGACATTTTACGCGAGTTTTATGCCTCGGTTCAGTCCACTAAGCCTGGGTGAGTACAAAACTTTCACCAAAAGTTGTCAAATCCGGTCGGTTTTAATGCACTTCCCAGAGGCAGACAACATTATTTATTTAACTGATAATTAGCCGTGTAATAAGTAAGGGATAATGTATATTGAGCCGGTGAATACTGGGAAAATAACTCCCGACAGGGGAATAGAACCCCGCTGCGCGTCGGGGTTCTATTCCCCTGTTGGGAGTTATTTTCCCAGTATTCACCGGCTCATTATACATTATCCCTTACAAATGCTACATTGTATAAAGGATGAAATATAGGCCCTTCTCGAGTCTCGAGAAAACAGTAGTCATGGTCATGTTATTCTAAATTTTTATAGGAACTGCAGCTAAAACTAGAGCGTATTTACAAAAGAAAAAGAAAAGCCACCAAAGAAGCTTAGGAGTAAGTTTTATTTCTAATTATTTGTTTACTTAAATTTTTGTATTTAGACTATTTTAATGACAAAAGAATAATATAAAAATTCAGGTAAACAACAGCACATAGCCTACAGATAAAATATAAGTGATATAAACATATGAGGAACATAAATGGGAATAAGTTTTATATTTCGCCATGGTTACAAAAAGTTACGACAGTTCCTTTATCCACAGATGAGAGGAAAGTTTGTCCCAAAGCTTGCTGCTGCATTTACACCCTGCAACTTAATGAAGGGTGCTTTATTCAGCTCTGAAGGTGAGAAGAAACGGAGTTCCAGTCCGAGACAGAGTGGGAGTGAGGAGGGTCCGGTTTGGGATGCACAGATTGTCATGATCCTTATTTTGTTATTTCCTGTTTTACTGTTTTCCTGTCACATCTTACTTCCTGCCTTTGTGTGTTTTTCCACCTTTGTGATTGTCTCCTCTGCACTGATTTGTTTCACCTGTTCCCCATTACCTTAGCTGTCAGCTGCTCCTCGTTAACATCCTCCTTTAATCGTGTATTCATTCTTTGATCCTCATGCCATCCTGGTTTGTGTTTAGTTTTTGTGTGTGTGTGTGTGTGTGTGTGTGTGTGTGTGTGTGTGTGTGTGTTTTCCTTTGTACTTTTAATTAATAATTAATTCTGCCTGCTTCTTCAGTTTTGTTGTCTGCCTGTTTTGAATGTGTGGTACCAGCTTACATTAAAGCTTGCTTTTTGTTTAATCCACTTGCCTGCCTGCTGTCCTGCATTTGGGTCCTCTTTGAACTGCAAAATTGTTAGTTTTTTTGTTTGCTAACTGAAATTACAGGACAAAGAAAAGATTTTCATATTGTTAAGGCCTTTCAGTTTCAGTGAAAATCTTCATAAAAAGGACTTGCTAGTGTGTCATTTTTACATGTAAATAATGTTTTCAAATTTAGCTAGCTTAGTGTATATGTGTTATATGTTGACTTATCTAGGGTGTACCCTGCCTCTCACCTAATGCATGCTGGGACAGGCTCCAGCCTCCAGTGACCCCTGCACAGGATAAGCCGCTTAGAAAATGCATGGATGGTTGGACATATGCGCCTGATTGCCCCATAACATGAAAGTGATAAGTGACTTAAAACATTACCTAGTGGTGTTGACTCACATATGACTGAGTTTTTGTGTTCCAAACTGGGAATATCTAAAATTAGCACATAACTGAACAGAGGGAAAATGCTACTGTGAGCTGACAAGTGAGAAGAGATGGAAAAAGGTCTCTGTATTGTGCGTTAAGGGCCTTTTCATTCCTGGTGGAATAGAAAAGTGTCATTCCAACAAACTACATAATATCTCATCAGTAAGTATTCATTCTGCATGGCCGAGTGCTTCACAGGCTCCAGATCAATTCAATGACTCGTTGTTGCACGCTTCACTGCATAGCACAGAAAAAAAAAAACTGGAATAATTGGGTGTCTTCGGGCTGGTGTGGTGCTGAGGGCTGCATTCTGCTCTGCACGCTGATACTGCTTCACCATGCAAACCCCCTCCTCTTCACCCACCCCTTTATGGCGGGCTAGTACCTCTAACACTGAACAAGCTGAGTGATCGTTCAACACACTGACGTCAGCAACAGCTCTAAGCAAACTGCCTCCCCCTCACAACACACATACACATCTGGACATATGGTGCATACTGCACACACACACTTGTGCTCACTAATATTTGTAGCACTTCACCAGCCTTGCCTCTCTCTTCTGCCCCCTCCCAATCGCTGCAGCTTCATTCCAGGAGAGATGCACTCAGCTTTATTACAACCCCCCCTCCCTCCTGCACCTCTGCCCATCCACCATAAAAAGACTTCTGTCAGCTGTATTATAAGCCTGCCTCCTTTTCTGATTCTGCAACGCTCATAAAACATCCAGTCAGGTGGAGGGAAGGTTGCAAGGACGCCGCTGCAAATCACCGCTGACACTTTAGAAAAGCTCCTCTTCTCCTCCTCCCTATCTCTCTCCTTTTAGTGTGGTGCTTTGTCATACACATACACAACCACACATACACTCAGCTCCTTCCATCCACCCATCTTCTTTTGCTTTTGATATGACTCCTTCCTTTCTTCATAATCCAGCCAGTACTTTCTGCAAAGCCACTGTAAAAAACTTGTCTCTTCTCTGTACAGTTTCTACTTGCTGCATGAAATGAAAGCTTGCTCTTAAGATGTGGAAATGTGCAACGCAAGTGAAATATTGCTCTTAAACCCCTGTTGCAAAACCAGAGAACTGTTGCTGCTGACTCTTGTGTAGATTTTCAGCAACTCTGCAGTCTTTTTGACACACACTGACTCTCTGCCTCTCAGCGCACACATGCACAGAGCTGGAAGTAATTGCTGTAATATTTCAACTGATACAGATTGAGGCGATGCAGATACAGTGAACACACTCGTGGAAAAGAAATGGCATACTTGCTGTAGGAAATTGGAGCTGTAAATGCTAGTAGACTCTAATAAAAAGACATCTTGAAGAACAGTGATGTCAGGCTGATAAGACCAGAGCAAGCTTCGAGATATGCCAAAAAAAAATCTGAAAACCCAAGTGGCGGTTAAATGGCTTCATTGATTGCACTTCCAAACCCTTTTCTCACTCTTTCTCTTTCTTGATCTGTGTTGAGTGACTGACAAGAACAGAGAGGAAACTGAACAGAAAAGATAAGCACAAAAAAAAAAAAAAACAGGCGGCGACGTAGAGTGCGTTGCACAGCTCGCAAAGCCCAAAGTAACATCATGTTCCTATGGAAACAAATTCACCATGGAGTGGAGAGCTCACTGCAGGATAAATGAAGCAGAGGCTAATTTGCCATTTCAGTACTGTTCCTCTGCTCGGCTTGATAATAACTGGATGGGATAATTCCAGCGTGGCGGTGCCTTCCAGTAAGGATGTATTACTGTCACATTAGACTGCAAAGGATGGATAATTTCAACAGAATTACTCCATAATAACAAATGAGCACAGTCACGCTGGGCGCTGGGTTTACTTGAACCCCCCTGTGCAGAATATGTGTATGACAGTGCGAGCTCATCAGTCCACGGTGTGCCCCGCTCTAACCTCACACACACACACACACACACGTCATTTAATTTCCCTCACATAACTACACAAACACATATGCAGTCCTTTGCAGCCTTGCATCATCTTGCCCTTTCAGACACAGTAAACAAACCCTTTGAAGCCATCCATGCCCTGCCTCCTACATGCTCACATACATAACTACCCACTTCACACACACACACACACACACACACACACACACAAACACACACGCACGCTTCTCTCACAGTTGGTGCTTGTGTGCAATGAGGCCCGAGGAATGAGAAGTTACCCATCTGCAATATGTTGCAAATGGCTCCAGCATCTCTGCAGAGTGTGTTGTATGTTGTACTCAGTGTTCTCTTATGTGCATCTGTGAGCATCATGGGACACACTGTACAGAGACTGGCTATATCTTACAACGCTGTGTTGTTTGTGTAGTGGTGTATATGTGTGTACGTGTGTCAAGTGTGCTTCAGTATCTTCTACAGCTGCCGTTCGCTTTATTCTCCAGGGTTTACATGCATGGATGTGTACATGTGGATGTTGCTTTGTAAGAAATATTTGACCATGCAAGAAAAGGTTACTTAAATGTGTGTTATATACAATTGTACATTCCAAATAACATACACCATGCTGTATACCAACACAGATTTGCACATATTTCAAATTGCCCGTACTTTCTCAACTTAATGGACACCAAGGCAAGATGGCTGACAAACTGTATAGGACTGCAGAGCACTGTTTGAGATCAACAAACAGCAAATGGGGGCATTTCCAGTGCCACCAAAACCAGGTGGTTTTTTTTTAGCAAGACATCCACGGCATTTCCAATACCAAAAACAAGTATGATGATCTTTTCATAACCATAACCAAATTGTTTTTGTTACTAAATATAACTACATATTAACCATAGCATTGTTGAAAGGTAAAGGAACGTTAAACCCGCTACATAATAATGTGCAAATGTTAAATATAGGCTAGCATGGTTTGCAAAACGTACCAAGCCAACATTTATTCTGGCAAATGGGTTGCCAAATTGTGTTTTCAACATGGGAGGAAATTATAGTTAATAGTATAATCAGCTGTATTGCAGTGTAATGACTGCATGTGTTTATCTGTGTGTGTGTGTGTGTGTGTGTGTGTACTAATATAATCTTGATGTGGTGAAAAAAAACCCTGTTCATACAGATATGGGGGGAATTCACCCTCAATCTGGGAACAAGAAGCTCACACAAGGCAACCCATTGAAGTTTTAGGATTACTTGGGTTTGGTTAATATAAGCTTAAAATTATACTTAGGCTATTTGGGGTATGGATCAAATTTAGCTATGTCACAGCTATGGTAAGGGCCAATGTAAGCCTTTAGGGAACGACAGAAATGTCTACACAAGTAGCTAAAACAAGTATGTGTGTGTAGCAATGAGCTGAATGAGGTGATTAGCCTCTAACAGATTTTTACATGAGCAATGATGTATTACATGGTCTCATCATCATCATCACAGAGGGAGGGCATATTTGTTGGCCTCTAATTGGCAGTGAACTACACACACAACACACAATACAACACACATAAATAGCACAGTCAGGTTAAGAGTGTAGAAAGGACCTGCTCTTAATCAGAAATGCGTGTCCTTTGAAAGCACTTATTTATACTATTCCCTGATTCACATTTTACATTTCACATGTGATCTCACAACTCAGATTCTGGCTGAAAGACTTTCAGATTTTCTTCCTGAACAAAAGATGAAAGTGTGTTAAGGGATGTGGATGTGTCAGGTTGTCTGAGGTTTAAGGAATGCTGCCTGGGCATGCTATGGTTTTATATTACTGCACACCAGGCGTGTCATACAGCAGTAAATAGCTATACTAACACGAACAATGGAGCAGAGCTGTGTGTGTGTATGTAGAGAGGGGGTTGCTCTGCTGCTGTTGGGGTTTCACTCCAAAGCAGTATGTTGTATATAATGTATATAATGTATATCTTCACAAATATACTCAGAGAACATTAATTTACTGTTTGATTTTCATAACATTACAGGAATATAAAATGTATCTCTCGCAAAGAAATCAATTTAGATAATTGACATCAGAAACACAATCGTATTTGCTAAATCACCTTTCTAAATATTTGCCTTGAATCAATAATTAAAGGGTCTTATGTCAAAACAGAGATTAATATCTAATGCAATACCTAATCCAAAAAAACACTGCTGACATTAAAGTCAAACTTGAATATCTGAATGTGCGTGTGATTGCTGATTCAACATGCTGAACAAATCAGAAGTCAAAGGATGCTTCTTCTTGCACGTACGTGGGTATGTGAAAAATGTACACATTAAGAGCTTCAAAACTGACCACATGGTGGTGCTATTGATAAAACCTTCAATATAGGCACTTTTATGCCAAGAATCTTTTGTCAACACCTCACAGTTCATGCATTATTAGCCAAAAAGGCTTGGTGTTAGGGTTGGTGTTACCCTACTCTGACTGGCAACAAGGTGGAGCTATTGTTACCATGCTTCAATAGGTCCAACACTTCTCCATGTAGCACCTGTTTACCAAGTATTATTGCTTAGGCATGTATGGTTTTTGAGATGCTGATGATTGTACACACTCTCCCATAGACTGCCTAGATTTTTTCATAAAAAAAATTCTAATTCATACATGTATACCCAGTTTTTATGTATAATATTTTAGATAATCATATTTTTATGCATTTGCCCAAAGACCTCCATTCAAAAACATATTAGCTAGAAGGGATCAAAACCCACATTAACAGCAACACTCTCTTAAATGGCCTATGCCTACATGTTAGAATTAGGAGCTTAACTGTAAGTATTAAAGCATAGTAGTAGTATTAGAAATAATACTCATAATAATGAACAATGGAAAAATAACAATAATATGTTTGGTTGCTGCAATTACATTAATCAATGAAGTAATTATAATTGATGATATAAACCTTTTACTGGTGAAGCAATCTGTGTTGTTATTGTGCGGGTGGCAGTTCTGTATGGGTAACAGCGATGTTTTCACAAATATTGTTATTATTATTATTATTATTATTATTATTATTATTATTTCTAACTCATCATACAGATTTGCAAATGCTGTTTCACAAAGGTGTGTGTGGGGGTGAAGGAGAAAGAATCAGTATCCTGACGTTAAAGCATTGAAATGTTATAAATCAACAATACACTCAAAGAAAATATTTAAAACACAGCTTTAGGTTTCACATCTGCTCCTTTAAATATTTTCTCACCTTTACCTTAAACTCGTCCTGCTCAGCCCTGTCCTGTCCTCGGGATGAATCCTCCGAGAAGAAACGGGGGAATCCAGCTTCCCAGTTTTAACCATCCACACGACTGAACGCTGCTACACTCTGATCCACTGATGTGCTTGCGCTTAGCGTGGGCATGTGCAGAAGGTGTGTGAGTAGCCTATATGTGAGTGTGTACGTCTAGATTGTATGCATCTTACACGTGTTTGTGCGAGGGACGGAATGTGAGCGTTGGGTTACAGAGAGTCAAACTTGTCGGCACCCCTCCGTCGAGCTCTGCTGCTGGTGCTGCTGTGAATGCATGCGGATGCACCTATTACACCTGTGCAGCCTGGCAGCAGCAGCGGTATGCATGCCTCGTCAAAGACTCCCCTTTCCCCTGCACAGCATCCTCTCTCGCATCCTGCTCGGCTCGCTCTCTCCTCCTCGCAGGCAGGAGAAGGTCTGTCGTTAATCCTTGTTGCGGCTGCAGTGCATCTTACACGGTGTCAACTTTCTTCTGCCACTCTCAGCTTTTCTCTGACTTTACAAATACAGCTCTCCTCCTCTCCTCTCTCTCTCTTCTTCCACCTCTCTCCCTCTCCTATTTGCCTTTCCTCAGCTCTACTACCTTATTACGAGGGAAACACTGGGTCCTAAAGCCTGTTGGAGCATGTGTGTGTTGTATTTCAATTACTCATGAGGATACGCACACATGCAAAGTGAGGACATTTTGCCTTTTCTTACTTCTTTAAGAGGATTAGTAGGGCTTGATTTTGGGTTGGAATCAGGATTGGGGTTAAGACTAGAGGATGTAGCAGGGTGGTGTAAGGTTAGCCTAAGCAACATTAAAAATGTGTGTTTATTGGGATGCAAGTGGATCCTAAGATTCTGTGCAAGATGTGAATGAAATATCCGCAGTGTGCAGCAAGGTGCAAGTATGAGATGAATATGTCATTGATGCTGCTGCACAAGGCAAACATAAAAATGGACAGAGGCAGCGATCAAAACAAAGAGGCGGGGGGAACAAAGAGTGAGGGAGGTGTAGTGTTATGCAGTGGCTTTGTGTGCTCTATGTGCTATACCAGAGCGGAGGCAGTGAGATGCCCCCCAGCAAGGATGACTCCACTTTGTGTCAGCCCTTTCATGTCTACTTCACCCTATGACCCACTTTAGCTTCCTGGGCCAGCCCACATTAAGATCTCAAGTCAGAAATAGACTCAAGATGCAAAAAACAATCATCCCTGCTTCAGGCTCATGCTCATTTCGTCTCTTTCAGGGGGAGACCACGTGGGATAAAGCTCAGGCATTGCTGGACACCAGCAATCAATGAAATCCACAAGGCTTACGCTGAGTATTTAATGAGGTGCACTGCTCTTAGCTAGAATCCCCCTCCCCCAGAAACGGTTTAACCTTTCGGCTGTTTTTTGTTTTTGTTGTTGTTGTTTTTTGGTTCTTTCCAGCCGGTCAGCACAGCCGCAAAGCTGACTATCTGATGCTCCATTTGTCTTTGGCTGTCAGAGTGACAAGCGGCCTCTCAGTCCATCATGAAGCAGGGATCAATACACTCTCCTTAGTCTGAGCACATCCTCCCCATCACTCTGTTTTCTATCTCTTTCTTTTCTTTCTCCTTCCTTCTCTCTCACCTTCTCTCCTCTTCCTGTAGCCCTCCCCCTGAGTAAAGGACAGGGAAGGAGATAGGAGGATTGATTTGGTGGGGGGTGAGATGAGGGCACTAATGATATTGCACAGGGTAATGCCGATGTATGGCTTTGTTAATGTAGGACTGATATTGATTGTGCATTACACAAGCAACACTGTCTTCCTCTGATGAGGCTTGACCATAAATACATAAAACAGCTTGTAAAACCTGCAATAGAAGTTCACTTTTATGGTTTCAGTGTTGTTTCAACTTCCAGATGTAATATATTGAAATCCTTCTCTGTATTCACATGCTGCCAGTTTGTGAAAGAAACAAGAAAAAGGTAAGTTTAACAAGAACACAATTTTGCTTAAGACAAAATAGAGATGATGTCAGTCAATGATAGTAAAGATAGGAATATACTGTGTATATGCGTGCAACTACTATAAGAATTCTGGGGCCCTTGAATAATGACCTTGGCCCCTTTTTTAAAATCATGAAAATGTCAGCAACAATTTGAACAAAGAAATACAAAAACAAAACAGCCTTTCATTTAAAAAAGTAAACAAGGTAAACAAGGCAAAATTGCATACAAGCACCCAACAAACAATGCAAAAATGTGCACATTCCCCAAATTCAAGAGTATGTGACCTTTTCATAAGATGTAGTTGTGACCCCCGCTATTAAAGGGACAGTTCACCCCAAATCAAACATACATATTTTACCTCTTACCTACCTCCTCTTATTGGCCGTAGAGATGTCTGCCTTTTTTAAGATAATGGGACTAGATGGCACTTGATTTGTGGTGATCAAAGCACCAAAAACACACATTTAAAAAAACTCAACAGCAATGTCTCCTTCCAGAAGTCATGACCTGGTTACTAAAGATATTCCACAAACCTTGTTGTGAGCAGTTTCATGAAGGAACCATTTTCTATCCAAAGTACACCCAACAAGGAAGCGTGCATCTACTGTGCTGTTACCTTATCTAGCACCACTGAGCTAGCTTTTTTTTTCTCGAAGTTTTATTGATTTTCTCAACAAACAGAAAAAGAAAACAGCATATTTAACTCACATATCTGCAAAGGTACTTAAACAGGGTAAGAAAAGAAATGAAAAAAAAGTAGTGATTACAGAGGGTTGAGGGTGAGTTGTGGATCTACAGGATGAACTAGACAAAATAGAAATAAATATTGGACCATTCATGTCGCTTCTTGAGTCCATCTCAAGATTCTTGGAAAGGTAGGTATTTTACAAATAGTATCCAGTATGACCTCCCACAGTTATTGGTCCTCATTGTAAACTTCAGAAAGTTTAGATGTGAAATGCTTGAAGCCACAGTCCCTGTTTCAGCTAATCTGCATCCTCCCAGTTTGTTGCTATCAGACTTTTAGCTGTCATGCACCCAGTTGTCAAAATTTGTTTGTTGTGTTTTGACCAGTTTTCTTTAACAGTATAATTCAAAAGACACATTGCTGGATCGCACTGAACAATATAGCCAATATTTTTTCCCAGGGATTTACTAGCTCAGTGGTGGAAGCACCACTGAGTCGATGAGGACGCCATTAATGTTTACATCTTGTGCAGTCACGAGCGAAATTCTGATGGAATTCGAAAGGAAGTCAGGAGTGCGAAAGAGGGCCTACTAGGGCCTAATACCAAGATCTGCATTGGAGCATGGAACGTCTGAACCATGTTTGAGACCACCAAGACAGCACAAGTCCTCAGTGAGATGAAAAAGTACCACCTGGACATCCTGGGGATAAGTGAGAGTCACTGGACCGGCTCCAGTCGTCAAGTCCTGCATGATGGGTCTGTCATCCTCCATTCTGGCCACGAGAACACCCACACACATGGTGTAGCCATCTTAATCTCCAAGGAGAAGGCCAAAACCTTACTGGAGTGGGAACCAGTAAGTGAAAGGCTGATCCGAGTACGCCTCAACTCAAAGTTCTGTAAACTCACCATCTTACAGTGCTATGCACCAACCAACGAGGCTGAGGAGGAGGTCAAAGAAGACTGGTATGAACAACTGCAAATGGCGGTTTCAAAGGTACCTCAAAACAACATTCTTCTCCTAACTGGTGACATGAATGCCAAAGTGGGAACCGACAATTCCAAAAACGAGAAGGCAATGGGCAAGCATGGATGTGGCGAAAGAAACAACAATGGTGAATGCCTTGTTGATTTCTGAATGAACAACAACCTGGTCATTGGTGGTACCATCTTCCCACACAAGAACATCCATAAGCTCACATGGCAGTCACCTGATGATAGGACCATCAACCAAGGGCTTCTTCTGAAATGGAAGAAGAACCCACCATAAACAGCAAATGGAATGCTATCAAGACCATATACTCCGAAACAGCACAAAATGTCCTGGGCTTCAAACAGAAAGGGGCCAAAGAATGGATATCAGCTAACACTTGGCAGAAAGTTGAAGAGAGGAAGCAGCTGAAGGCAAAGACGCTGAACACCAAGTCCCAACGACTCCTCAAGAAAGCCAAGATGTCCTATAAAAACAAGGACAGAGAGGTGAAGAGGAGTGCTAGGAGAGACAAAAGGGTCTTTGTTGAACTCCTGGCAAGTGAAGCCGAGAAAGCTGCAGGCTATGGAAACCTGGGCACAGTGTACAAAATCACAAAGCGACTATGTGGCAAATGTGCAAACCAAACTACCCACGTTAGGGACAAGAATGGCAACATCTGTACATCAGAGAATGAACAAGCAGCCACATGGGTTCAACACTTACAGGAAGTACTCAACCTCCCTGAGCCAGAACAACCAGCCAACATCACAACAACAGAGGATATCCTGGAAATCAAAACCAACACCCCTGACTCTGCTGAGGTTAAAGCTGCCATCCAAACCCTGAAGAGTGGCAAGGCATGTGGCATAGATGCTATTCATGCTGAGATGCTCAAGGCCGATATTCCAACATCAACACTTGTGCTGACGGACCTATTCCAAAACATTTGGAACAGTGACACCATCCCTGAAGACTGGTCCAAAGGTCTTATTGTCAAAGTCCCCAAGAAAGGCAACATTAAGAACTGCGACAACTGGCGTGGAATCACCCTTCTGTCTATTCCAAGCAAGGTGTTCTGCAGAGTCCTTCTCAACCGGATGGAGACAGCCATTGACACCAGGATTAGACAGGAGCAAGCAGGCTTCAGGAAGGGAAGAGGATGTATGGACCAGATCTTTGCTCTGCGTAACATCATAGAGCAGTGCCTGGAATGGAACACGCCCCTCTACATCAACTTCATGGACTTCAGGAAGGCCTTCGACAGTGTCCACTGAAACACCTTCTGGAAGATACTGCACTCCTATGGAATACCATCAAAGATCATCTCAATCATAAAAACATTTTATGAACATTTTGAGTGTAGTGTCATCGTGGAAAATGACCTCTCTGAGTGGTTTTCCGTGCAGTCCGGAGTGAGACAGGGGTGCATCATCTCCCCTATCCTCTTCCTGGTCGCCATAGACTGGATCACAACCAACACCACAGCAGACAGACTCAGAGGCATCCAATGGACTCTGTTCTCCCAGCTGGAAGATCCTGAATTCGCTGACGATCTTGCTCTTCTATCAACCAACCAGTACAACATGCAGACTAAAACTGATAGGCTGAACAACTTTGCCAGACAAGTTGGGCTCAGTATCAACACCTCCAAAACACAAGTGATGTGTGTCAACTCCATCCCCACAGCACCCATCCTTGTTAATGAGGAACCACTTGAGTTTGTGGAAGATTTCACCTATCTGGGCAGTCTCATCAGTAAGGACAGCGGGACATCAAAAGACATCAAAGCAAGGCTGGGAAAGGCTCAGGGTGCCTTCTCCCAGCTCCGTCCCATCTGGAGATAAAAAAAAATACAGCCTTAAAACGAAGATATAACAACAATGTAAAGTCTGTTCTGCTGTACAGTTCAGAGAGCTGGC